ACCGCTCCCCTCACTCTCCTTGATTCGGTGTTAACCTGACTCTACCAACATCTTCATTTCTTAGCTCTCACAAGGGGTAGAGGGGAATAAGGCTGGCACAATTTCCATGGCCAGTTCCATACCTTAGACCCCATGGCTTTCTGTCTCATCATTTATAATTTACGACCTTGACTTGCACCCACTTCTGCATCATGTTCTTTGTCACTTCTGTGACCTGATTTTACCCTGTTGAATATGTCTGCATCTGGCTCAGATTTTAATTTTCCACCCTACCCTACTGCTCTTCCCAGTGCCCTAGTCCTTTGTGACAAGCTCAGATTCATGATCCACAGCTAAACAATGCAACTTCCTGCTCTCTTGTCTTGAGATTTAAACCAACTGTCTCTATTCCCTGCTAGCCACATAAACAGCATTTTCTGCCCCAAACCTCATCATATCAAGGCACTGTTGTCATTCCAGATTATCTTGCATCTCTGATTCCTAACCTCTAATCCGGTGGGTCTCAAAGTGTGGAACTCTGACCAGTAGAATCCGCCCCAGCATCCCCCAAGAGCTTGCTAGCCATGCATGTTCTCTGTCCCACCCCAAAACCACTGGAAACTCTGGAGGTGGAGCCCAGCCATCTACTTTAACTTCCCTGCAAAGAATTGTGATGCCTGCTGAAGTTAGAGCAGCACTGACTCAACCCCTCTGGCCTTGCATGCCTTCTCCTGCTTCCTATTCCTACTACTCATCCTGGTAGGAAACTTATTACTGGCAGTTGTTTTGGTTTTTATTTTTTTTAAGATTTTATTTATTTATTCACGAGAGAGAGAGAGAGAGAGAGAGAGGCAGAGACACAGGCAGAGACACAGGCAGAGGGAGAAGCAGGCTCCATGCTGGGAGCCTGATGTGGGACTCAATCCCAGGTCTCCAAGATCACACCCTGGGCCAAAGGTGGCGCTAAACCACTGAGTCACCGGGGCTGCCCCTGGCGGTAGTTTTGTGCAATTTTGAAAGCCATTATTATGGATAATTTTAGAAGATCATGTAAAGCATCAAAATAATTTCTGATATTACATAGGGCAATATTATTTCTAACATTATTTTTTAAAGATTTTATTTATTTGAGAGAGAGAAACAAAGATAGCAAGAGAGAGCACAAGAAGGGAGGAGAGGGAGAAGCAGGCTCTCCTCTAAGCAGGGAGCCCAATACAGAGCTCAGTCCCAGGACCCCAGGATCATGACCTGAACTGAATGCAGACGCTTAACTGACTGAGCCACGCAGGCGCCCCTCTAGTATTATTTCTAGTATAATTTCCAATATTACTATAAAGAGCAAATTCTTTCTCATCCCTGATAACAAGAGACAGTGATGATCTTGATAGATAAAAGTACAAATAGTCCATGAGACTAGACTCCTCCTAATCTGGAGGGTTAAGTTCTTTCTAAAAAAGGAAAATAGGACAGCCCGGGTGGCTCAGCCACCCTGTTTAGTGCTGCCTTCAGCCGAAGGCCTGATCCTGGAGACCTAGGATCGAGTCCCACGTCGGGCTCCCTGCATGGAATCTGCTTCTCCCTCTGCCTGTGTCTCTGCCTCTCTCTCTCTCTCTCTCTCTCTCTCTCTCTCGTCTCTCATGAATAAATAAATAAAATCTAAAACAAACAAATAAATAAATAAATATCTTTTAAAAAAAGGAAAATAGTTTTTCTAATAATGCTAATTAAAATGCCAATAAAGAGGCTGATAAATCATCTTTGTAAATTGAAAGGACACAGAGAGTTACATACTCTTCAAATTAATCAAATATGGAATTACCAAACCTTAGGAATTCCCAGCTGATTTCTTAGCTTGATGATGAGTATATGGGATCAGTTACATTAATATTTCTACTTTTGTGTATGTTTGAAAATGTCACAATAAGAATTTTAAAACAAGTTACTTAACAATGGCATCATCGTGGGAGCCCCATGTTATAAGAATCCAAACCAGATGGTCTTCACTTTTGTCACTACTATTCTTGGCCATAAATGATATTAATAATGGATTTGTCATATCTATTGAATGGCTTCAATTTATTTCTGCTAGATCATTATATGTATATAGATAGGTAGATAGGTGGCTCAGTGGTTGAATGTCTGACTTTGGGTCAGGTCATGATCCCAGGGTCCTGGGATGGAGTCCCCACAGGGAGCCTGCTTCCCCCTCTGCCTATGTCTCTGCCTCTTTCTCAGTGTCTCTCATGAATCAATAAATAACCATTATTAAAAAACGGTTATCAAGGTTAATATTGAAATGGCCAAAAGCTAAGAAATTCATGTGATCTGTACACTGCTGCTGTGTAAATAGAGAAATGCTTCACAAAACAATTATACAAGATTCGGGTATATGTCACTAGATATTGAAATATTAACACATAAGTTTCACCTATTGTGATTTCTCTTAAAAGGTCAGAATTCTAATTGCAGAAAAGGCTTTATGTAGGGAGGTGATCAGCAGAGCCTCCTTTTTTTTTTATTATATCATAAAATATTGGAAATCCCTTTATGACCAGCCATAGGAAGATAGCTAAATAAAATTCAGTTTATTTGGGGTGTTTGAGTGGCTCAGTCAGTTAAACGTCTGCCTTCAGCTCAGGTTATGGTCCCAGGGTCCTAGAATCAATCCCTGCATCCAACTCCCTGCTTGGCAGGGAATCTGCTTCTCCTTTTCCCTCTGCCTCTCCCGTGGCTTGCGTGTGTGCGCGCTCTCTCTTTCTCTCTTAAATAAATAAATAAAATCCCTTTTAAAAAATTCAGTTTATTCATCCAGTATAATCATTAAGATTATAATTATGCAAATTATAATGTTTATAATAGTAAGAAACCAAGACAGGAAATCTGATGCATAGTAAAATCACAACTATGAAAAATATATACAAACGGTTTCTGTTAGGTTGTCTTACTCTTTCTTTTTCATCTTTATTTTTTTGGTGGAAATGTGTATTTAGAAATTATGACAGTGGAATTCCCTAGATTGTTTCCTCTCCAAAGCGGTTTGAGTCTTTGTGACTCAGCAAAGGTACTTTTAATATATGGGGAGCTCAATATTTTGAGAATTGCAATGTCCCAAGGAGCGCATCTCCATTACCAGCAAAGCCTCCAGCCCTAAGTCAGCTGCCTTGATGAAACTGAGATTCATAGAGTCTAAGGTAATCCAACTACAATTGTATTTTTGCCCCAGAACTGTTTCCATGGTACTTCTTAACTGTTAAAACGTACAGCAGTCATTTGTATCATTGCCCTGAAGAAGCAGAACTTGGCAGTGGCACTGAAACCACCCCCTCCTCTGGTTGTCTTACCAGGACTTCTTTACATTGGAAACATCAAAAATCAAAGTGGTGGTGCTACTTCCCATGGCATCAGTGTGAACATGCTAAATTAAAGTGTGCTGCAGGGACTGGGGACCATCCCTTATGGGATGGCAATGCAGTAACCCACCTCCCACTCCACCTTCCCTCCTGCAGATGCTCAGTTCGGCAGTCTACTTTCCATAGCATCAGCCTAAGAGTCCACACTGCTCTTCTTCTCTTATTAATGAGGAGTAGTCATCATTTTATTTATTACAATTATACTAACTCCCATGCCCTTCCAGGCATCCAAAAAGGCTAAATGAAAAGAACAAGGAGAAAAAAAAAAAATCTTAAAGTATGTCAGTGCTTTATATCATCTGCCTCAGATGATTTTTTTGGTATCTATTCTGTTTTTCTCTGTTTATACAAGATTCAGGTCAAATATCCTGTGTCCTTGAACCATATGTTATCTAAAGCCTGTTGGTTTGTAGATTAGTCTGTTGACTGTTTTTCATCAGGCCAGTTCTAACTGGGAGGAAGGGGCCCACAGAGCATCCTTTACCACTGCTTATTGTTGTGTATAAAATTAAACCCTTGGGAGGAGCATGGCAAAAGAAAAGGATCATTTATACAAGATTCACCTTGGAGTCATCTCACTGTTTCATTCCTACAAGTAAATCATCTTTTGTCCAGTTTTAAGGCTTTGCTGGTTCCTGTGTTTCTGACTAAGCATAACTTGGGAGTCTTTCGTCTGGATGTTTATTCATCTTACTTGGAACAGCTTTCCGTCCTCTTTAAAAATTAATTTGACTTTAATGTCTAGTTATTTAGGACTCCCCTGGGCTAGGATGAAATCACACTGGGGGAATTTTGATTTGACAAATGGCCATTGTGCGGGAGCCTTTGATCCTCTACCATGGTGTTAACTAGCCGCCCAACCCTTGCTTTGAGAAGCTTTAAGCAAGATCAAAGTCTGCCCTTCCCCACCCCCAAGGTGTGATCCCTGGTGGGCAGGGGGAGAATTCTGACACTCCCAGCATCCTTAGGATGCTGCAGCCCTCAGCTTTGGTCGAAGCTCTCTGAGTGGTCAGTACTTGTTCCCTCAGAAGGTTTGCAGAAGATGGGACCTTCCCAACAGCCAGTGAGCTTGTCAGGAGGTGAGCCTCAAGGAACTTTGAGCCCTCCTAAACATTTACCTCTCTAGAAAAATTGGATGCTGGTGGGAATAGGAGAAAAAGGATGAATTTTTCCTAGAGCCTTAGCGAACCATGCTTCTGGTGTGTGTTGAGTGGTATGAAGCCCTGGGCTCCCTAGAGTAGGAATTCCTACTCAAGGTTTTCCAGCCTCTGAGGCCTGCTCGATTTTTCCAGGTTTTCCAAAATTACAAAGAATAGTTCATTTTAATTCACTTTCATTAAAAAAGGTACATCCAAAAATATGGTGAAAGACGGAGAGGGAGAGCAAACAGGCAATTTACTAGAGGTCACTGGAAATTGCTGCCTTCGTGGTCAGATGCCATATGTCTAAAAATAAAGTGTCTGAAAATCAAAAGATCAAGTGTAGATTTTACAGACTGACCTTGAAAAAGATTGTTCAAAAACATTTATATTCGATTAGCAAATGATAAATGTCACCCTTCCCTGGAAGGTGGGTGTTGTCTAACTGGGCCATCTCCTCTCGCTCCCACAGATGGGGAACTCTCCATATCGAATGAAGATGACTCGCTGGAAAATGGACAGTCCCTGAGCTCCAGCCAGCTGTCTCTGCCTGCCCTGTCCGAAATGGAGCCGGTCCCAATGCCCAGGGATCCCTGCTCATACGAGGTGCTCCAACCTTCAGACATCATGGATGGGACAGGTAATGCAGGACGCGATGGGACATGGAAGGGGCAGAGTTGTGGGATAGGCCCCCAGCACGTGACATTTGGGACCTGGAGCCTTGGCTGGACGAGGGGTTCTATTTTGAACCACCCTGAGCTTACGAATAGCCTGGAAATGGGGACAAAACTGCCCAATTAGTAGATATTCACACATGCCGTTCTACAGTTTTTTAACAACATTTTTTGTAATCTTAATGATTTTAAAGAAGACATGCCCTGTTTTTGTAATATCAAGGATTTAAAATGTCATTTTTGTTTTTTGTTTTTTTCTAGCACTTGTTTGTCTTAAGCTCAAGCTAAGGAATCCTATACTTTACACAGTTCCTACCTAACTCACATGCTTGTAAAGCCCTAGCACAGCCTTTAAGTCCAGTCTGGGCATACCAGCTAATGGTTGTATCTGGGTAGCAAATTTTATCAGTTTACAATCAACGTGTTAATTGGGTAACCGGTTAACTCACATGCTGCTGATGGATGATGTTTGGTACCATCAGACTGTCACTACTTCTTTGGTCCAAAGCCCTCTGAATGGTCAGTACCCACTCCCTCAGAAGGTTTGCAGAAGGTGGGATCCTCCCAACAGCCAGTGAGGAGTGCTCCCTGTTGTCAAGAGGTGAGCCTGGGTGGGGAGGGACCTCCTGAAATCTCCAGAGTTTGGGCAGAAAGGCCATGTCCTTTCGCCACACCATATGCAATGTCTGCGTCAGCAGAGCTCAGGTGGGAAGACAGGAGAGCTGGTGTTACAGAGTCCATTCCAGGCTTCACTTGGGGACCTGGTGAGTCATTTGCTCCATCAGTGTGTCCGATGCTGATGGTAATGGTGTCCCTTGTGAGAGGGGGAGAACTGAGTGCTCCTGAGGATTTTTGGCAAGGCTTTGATGCTGCTACCCAGATTAGGGAAGAAGAAGAGGGTGACGGGTGAGTCACTAGAGTCATTCCTATTCCAGCAGCTTTGGGAGGCAAGAGGCTATACATCTGAGTTACAGTCCCCCCAAGCTGAGGAGATTTTTTTCCAGCTAAAGAAGGGAATTGTGTTTCTGATCCAGCTTTCCTTGTGACATTAGAATCATACAGATTTGACTGTTAAAGGGAGATCTGTCATCCCAGTGAAATGAGAGTTTCAGTCTCGTTGGCCAGGCTGTCAGCATGGAATGAAGGCCTTTGTCTCCTACCCTCTCCTCCCCAGGACAGCTCTTAACTGGAGCCAGTTGGGGTCACCCATGGTAGAAAGGAAGAGTCAGACCCAATGCCAAGCCAAGAGAAATGGGGGAACCCAAACAGAAAGCCATAATTCTGGCAAGTGAGAGGACAGAAAGTGGGAGACAGAAAGACATTGTCTTGGTGCATCCCTTGTCTCATCAAGGTTTAGAAGAGCCCCTAAAGCTGCAAGGTGCCTGCTGGCAGCTGCTGCCCAGCCCGGGAGACACACGTCAGGGTGCCCGACCTGGTGTCAGCCTCGAGGGCTGCTCCGTTACTTCCTGGCCCAGACCCAGGGAGACCCAGGGGGTGCAAAAACAAGACCCCAGAATCTACCATGGCTTCCTCTCAGCAAAGGACAAAGAGGCCCAGAGGAAGATGCTGGTTCGGTTCACCTGGGGGCCTCTTTGTCCGCCACCCACTGCACCTGCCATCCGTGGATTGTCACTGTGGTCCCATGAATCACGTGTGAGAGCACTCACAGAACGTGTCATATGAGTGCCAAGATTGAAGTGGTGAAGTTTGGGATTGTTTTGAGAAAATAGCCTCTTCCTAACTCCCTTCTTGCCCCTCCTGCCTCTCCCTTACTGCCTCAACCTCCCTGGTGTGTTCCCCCACCCTCCCCACCCCCTGCTTGATTGGATTTCTAGCGGCCTCTCTTGAGCTCTCCACACATACGTGACGACCTGGAACAAGTCGGTGCTCTGCTGTGTTGCTAACCCACACCCCCGTCCTGTGCGCTCCTGCCGGCCCCACCTGCACTTCGTTTGTGTAATGTCTCCTGTGTGTCATATGGTTGTCCCCTCAGTGTCTGAAGAGAGTCCCTCTGCCAGTGAGTCTGGAATCCTCCTGGCCCAAGATCCTTCAGCCAAACCAGTCCTGCTACTGCCCCCCAAAAAACCTGCTGCTTTCTCTGGAGACCATGAGGAGACCCCAGTGAAGCAGCTGTCCCTTCTCAAGCAACCCCCCGCCCTGCCTCCCAAACCCACTGCCAGGATTGCCAACCACTTAACAGGTGAGTCCAGACGTCTTCTGGGGGCATGCGGCCCTGCCTTCCCTTCAAGGGATAATCTCTTGCTCTCTTTCTCTTTTTAGCCAAGGCCTGTTGCACCTCTTTGGTGAGGCTGCTCTGTGGGACGTTTGGGTGTTTCTATGTGCGTCTCGGTACACACAGTCATGACCTGGGTTTGTGTGTCTTTGTCAAGAAGCATTCGGTATACACCTGCCAGCCGTGTGCCAAGAGCCTTTGTCGTGTGTATCTGTAAATATGTACATTGGTATTTATGTGATTGACTCACGATTGTTTGCCCATCGAGGTAAATTAGATTCAATGTCAAAAATCCTTGCAAAGATGAAAAGTAGTACCTTGTTCCCTTCATAATGAGTTTGCCGAAGCTTTAAATTTTTTGTCTTTAAATTATTGATCTGAAGCCCAGCATATTTCCTCTATTAAAATTCATGTCTGTGCTGTTTGTTCTATTAAAAAAAAAAAAAAAAGACAAGTGAGACAAATCTGCAAAGCATCACGGGAAATACAGTTAAAAGAAGAGAAGGTTTAGGAATGCGGTCCTGAAGTGATTTTTATATTTTCAAGTTTAACGTGTTAGTGAACACACCCAGCGCTATTAAATTGGGCACCTAGTGAAATTGTATTTCACTGCACACGAACCAGACACTCCTCTTGGATTCAACGCTGTGGTTTGGGATTAAAGAGTAAAGATTTCAGGGGGTTGTTTCTGCAACCCTGAGAGTCTTTCCACTGACCAGTTGCCTTTTTACAGTGCGCTTAGTGTTTTTGTAAATGGTTTCTAATTGATCTCTGTAGGTTTTTGTGAGACGTGATGAAGATGGAGGTAGGAAGAATTTTCACCTGTTTTGTAGTGGAGAAGCTGAAGCTTCAGAAACATCAGGACCTTCAGCAGGGCCAGCAGGCGTTGTGCAGTAGGATCATCCGGGGAGCCTGGTCTCTGGTAGGAGGCTGCCTCCCCAGTGGTGCTGAGTTTTATTTAAGTCCAAAATAAACACAAGAGTGAGTCAAACCACTCTATCAGCATATGTGTCCACCCAGGTCAGATGTCTGTGGCTCAAAAGAGCATATTTCCATCTACAGGAGCCACCCAACACATTAATAACCCTTTAGTGCAGTGTCCTAAAATGTGAATGCATAGGAAACCACAAAGGAACAAATGACCCCATAAGCTTCCTTCTAAGAGATGACCCCTGTCCGTTTATCTGTCTAATGAAAATCAGATGCCTGCTATACATATCTCCTATCACTGACGTTTTGCACATGGTGGTATCTTCAGAACTGGTTCTCCTGTTTGTGAATACTGCACAACACGGTTTTGTTAGCCGCCCGGTGTGGAGTAGGGTTCCCTCATTTGGCTCCTTGTGGGCTCTCCCATCTTCTGCCGTAAAAATCACCACAGCAGACATCCTCTGCAGCATACACTGCATTATGAGCATCTGAATTTCTCCTAATTTATTTCGAGAATTAGAGTTGCTTATTCTGATTCCCGAAATCATCTATGTACCTTGGAAGAGCTATAGGCTTTTGAAGGCTTTGATGCCAAATTTTCCCAAAGATTAAATATTACAGAATCAGCTTCTGTATGTGGTTCATATTTATTCATCAAACATGTGCTAGGTTCCAACGCAGGTACAAATAAGTGACAGTTTACTGTATATATTTTGCATATGTATTTTTTATATATTACCTGTATAGTATAGACACACAATAGAGCACCAAAATACTGTCGGGAGTATCACTTCGAGTTCTGTGCAGTCTGATCAAAGGGCATGCATGGAAGGGCTGCAGCTTGAGCTGACCCTTAACTCATGAAGGGCGTTTATGGAGAATGAGGGGAGAACGTTCCAGGAGAGAAGCCCCCAATCAGAGAGGCCCAGAGATGGCATTGTTTTGGGTCCATCATGAGGTGGCTGAGCTGGGGCAGAGGGTCTGTCTCAGGCTGTATTGAAAAAAAGGTTCACTAGGTAAGGCATAGGAGGATTTAGATTTTATTTCTGGGGCAGTGGGGAGCCTTGGGAGGCTTTTGAGCAGGGGAGTGGTGTGATGAAAATGAGCCTTTTGAAAGTTTTCCCACAATCACTGTGTAGAGAGTGAATGGAAGGAGAAAGTTGAAGGCTTAAAAAGGCCAGCCCCATGCCTCATTCTCCAGAATCACACTAGTTGAGTGAAACTGAATAATTTGAACCAGGGAGATGACGGAGGAAGCCACTCCTGTTTCTGAGATAGGACCTAACAAGCAGGAGGAGAGTGAACAGAACAACAGAGATGGAATCTCGTAGCCGGTAGCATCCTCTAACTTATCTAGTTATCTAATTAATGAAGGCACACTTCATTCATTCACAGCTTCAGCTATGAGCTGTGAGCTTGGGCAGCCTGGTATCCATGGGACTCTTGATGTAGGAGAAACTGAGCCCAGTCTCTGGCTTCCCTGGTCCTTTTATAGGGAGAGTGGACTTCTCTACTCTCTATAAACCTCATCTCTACAGAGCTTGGATCACATGGATAAAAATACCTAAGAGCTAATAATCCTTGCCATGTTGGGTCTGGTAGCCTCTTAAATGAGAAGACAAGACGGGTGGAGGTCTCTGTGGGCTGCAAGCCTGGTGCTGGCCTTTTCGGTTTAAACTCATTTAGACGTGCTTAATTTTTGTAAGCGAACAATTATAATGAATCTGCATCACCACAAGGCAGCTACATTAACCCTGTTCTGTTAGTAATTACTCTAGAGACAACTGGGCTGTGTCAGAAGAAATTAATCAATGAAGAATGCTAGAACCCTACGTTGAGACTTAGCAGTTGTAGCATGCTCACACTGTCTGTTGTCCTGTTGACGTTTTTGAAAGGAAACCCAGGACAGTTTGAAAGCCACCAAGCATGATTAATAAGAGAGTGACAGTGGTTAACGGTCCGGTGGGATACTAGAGGAAGCACGAACCTGACCTGGGGCTACTTCCAAGTACATGATCAGGCAAAGACAGGCAGAAATATCTCTACTTTGGCATGTGCTTCCCATTTTCTCAGGAAAACCATTATAGACTTGGAGAATGTTCTCTGTTCTCCAGCAAGTGGAGAGAAGCCTCCTTGCTCTCCCAAACAATCTTTCTTCTTCCCTTGTCATCATCCTGTCTGTTCTTCTCTTCTCCAAGAGCGGCTGCAAGCAGCTCTGCCACGCACTGTACTTCCAGAGTGGAAGGAGAATCTGATGCTCCATTATTACATGCCTCTGCATAATGCATATGATCTGAGATGAATGATTCTCAAAATGCATCTCTCTTGGAATGATGATGGACCCCAGAGGAAAAGAGTTGATTGAAGTGAAGAAAAAAAAAAAAAAGAACTCCACCACTGTCTCCTATCTTTCTAAGTCTTCATCAATCACCTCTCCAGCCATCCTGGCTCCCAGAGTCTGATATGACACACTGCATGAATAATCCATGCCTCTGCATATGGTACCTGTGATTAGGTACCCCATCGATGCTATTTGAAGGAAGGATAATCAACTCCCGTGAGAGCTGGACTTCGTGGTCTGGCATTCACACTTGGGTGATAATGGCAGCTACCACTTTTTGAGAACTTCACGGCATATTGTTTAGTCCTACAGAGTCAATGCTATTATCATCATTCTTTCTTTTTCTTGGAAGAGGAAAACGAAATTTAGATAAGTTAAATAACTCTGTCATGGTTACATAGCTAGTAAGTGCCAGAGATGTATCCACTTTTTTACTCCAAAGTTCTTACTTGTAATCATTGGTTTCTAACATCCTCACTAAGATACCTATTCTTAAAATTCAAAACAATGGAATTATGAGCTTTCTTTGTTGTTTTTGGTTTTTTTTTTTTTGTCTTGCTTTGTTTTTTTGCCTTGTGACTTTCAGTCCTTTTAAGAAAATTGGCTTCTTGGGGGCACCTGGTTGGTTCGTTTGGTTACGCGGTCAACTCTTGATTTCAGCTCAGGTCATGAGATCAAGCCCCGAGTTGGACTCCGTGCTGAACCAGGAGCCTGCTTAAGATTCTCTCTCTCTTCGTCTCATCCTTCATGACCACCACCCCTACTCATACTCTTGCTCCCCCTTCTTTCTCTCAAAAATAAATAAATGGATTGGTTAGTTGAATTCTTAAAAAGGAAATCAGGGGGCACCTGGGTGGCTCAGTTAAGTATCTGACTCTTGATTTCAGCTCAGGTCATGAGATCAAGCCCCGAGTTGGACTCCATGCTGAACCAGGAGCCTGCTTAAGATTCTCTCTCTCTTCGTCTCATCCTTCATGACCACCACCCCTACTCATACTCTTGCTCCCCCTTCTTTCTCTCAAAAATAAATAAATGGATTGGTTAGTTGAATTCTTAAAAAGGAAATCAGGGGGCACCTGGGTGGCTCAGTTAAGTATCTGACTCTTGATTTCAGCTCAGGTCATGATCTCAGAGTCCTGGGATCCAGCCTTACATCAGGTTCCTGGCTCAGCAGGGAGTCTACTTGTCTCCCTCTTCCTCTTCTTGCTCTCTCTGTCTCTCTCTTAAATAAATAATCAATTTTAAAAAAAGGAAAGGAAATTGGCTTCTTTATTTGCATAAGTCAAAGACAAAAATGTATCTAGTCTTTCAAAAATAACTAATATTCTCAAGGCACTTGATTATAAAAAGGAGGACCTGAATGCAGTTGGGTTGGGTTTGGAAGAACATGTTAAAAGTTGAGAGTCTGTAAGAATCAAGAACAGGACAAATCACATAGGAAGCATTTGGTCACAATTAGAGATTGGCAGTTTAAGCAAAGAAAAGGAAATGTTGGGGGAGCCTGGGTGGCTCAGTTGGTTAAGCATCTAGCTCTTGATATGGGCTCCGGTCATGATCTCAGGGTTATGAGATTGAACATTGTGTCAGTGTGGAGCCTGCTGAGATTTGCTCTCTCCCTCTCCTTTTGCCTTTCCCCTACACACTCTTCCCCTCTCTCTCTAAAATAAATAAACCTTGAAAGAAGAAGAAAGAAAGA